CTTCAAGTTATTTGTTCACTTCTGGTCTTGAGTCTTCAACTTGCTTTCGGAGACTGGTTGATACAAGTGATCGTCAGGGAGAGTTGTATGTAATTACATCAATTCTCCAATTTAGCTAATCACAATTATATGAATTATTTTAATATAATTAATCTAAATTGTAATTAGTAGTTATAATTATATATTTGATTCAGTTTATTACTTTAGTTCTTTTTATATCAAATTGTTGTTGTTGTCCAGATAAGATTTTTAATAATGTAAAAAATAATAATTGAGATCCATTAAATTTATCTATAAACAATACTGAATGACTATCATAACCATCGAACCATTTATCATCGAGTAAAAATGCATTTTTATAATTATTTAGATATGTTGATTTTCTTCAATATTTATTACCATAATGAATTTCAACAAATGGTTTTCCATATAGTTCAAAATACTTTTCTTCAATTTTAATCTTCCAATCTAATAAACAATGATCATAAATTACATAAGTTTGAGGAAATTCTTTAGCTAAAGTGCTGTTTTTAACATATTTTCCTTTTTTTACTTTATTTAAAATATATAATTAAGCAACTTTAATTTTTTTAATTTTATATTTTGAATATAATTCCCATATTTTGTAATATAGTCTATTACAGAATTTGTTGAGCATACTTCTTGTATATTAGGATGATAGATTTTATTATTAAAATTAATATCAAAATAACTTTGATTCTGAATATGAATTTGTTTTGCTAGTTTTAGATAAATATGTTTATGAAAATATTTATTTTGATATGGTTTATTTGCAATTATATAATAATATTTTCAAAAGATAAAATATCTTTTATACATTCTAAAATCTGTTCTTTAATAAGAGAACAATGAAAATAAGTTAAAAAAAATTATACAAAATTTTTTCAAACTTATTTCTTGTTTATTACTTTTTACTTTTTTACTATGATCTATAATTAATCAAATAAAAATCTAGTCGGTAATGGAACTGACTAGTTAATTTTTATTAATATATAATATTAAAATATTATATTTGTTAAGAATTGATTACTTTTTAAAGCTATCAATTTGACTTTTTTAAATGAATATGTTCTTTTAACCTTTGAAAAATAACTATTATTATTATAATTAATATTAAAAAAATATTTATTACGAATATTTTTAATATTGTTTAAATAAATATATATATAAATATTATGAGTATCTTTTTGTTTTGTAATTATATAGTATATTTCTCAATTTGCAAGTTTTTTTTTAAAAATATATTGGTTAATTATAATAATATATTGTTAAAATCAATTAAACAATCATAGTATACGAATTGAATTTGTTTTGAATAGATATGAAAGTTTTTTAAAGATATTTTAAGAAACAAATTTTGTTTCTTAATGAATATCTGTAGCGAAGCTAAGCTGTATTCGTTATTAAATCAGAACTGATTCAATTGTATTTAAATTAGGCAATTTTAAGCTTTATATACTTTTTGATATGTCAAATGATCTGACTGTCTGTAGTCAAATGATTTGACTATCCCAAGAGTTTTTATTTTGGTGTCTTTGTAGATCATTTTTTAATCGTTGGTTCTCAAGATCGATTTTGAAAAGTTTAGTCTAAATCTATTACTGCGCATTAACAGCGATGATAGAGAACCGTGATAAGATCTTACTTGCAAAATTTGAGATCAAACGAACAAGAATTCATAAAGTTATCAAGAGTTTTTATTTTGATGCTCTTTATAGATCATTTTTTAATTGTTGGTTCTCAAGATTGATTTTGAAAAGTTCAGTCTAAATCTATTACTGTGTATTAATAGCAATGATAGAGAACTATAACAATATCTTATATACAAAATTTGAGATCAAACAAACAAGAATTCATAAAATTATCAAGAGTTTTTATTTTGGTGCTCTTTGTAGATCATTTTTTAATTGTTGGTTCTCAAGATTGATTTTGAAAAGTTCAGTCTAAATCTATTACTGTGCATTAATAGCGATGAAAGAAAACTATGACAAGATCTTATCTACAAAATTTGAGATCAAATGAACAAGAATTCATAAAGTTATTAAGAGTTTTCATTTTGATATTCTTTGTAGATCATTTTTTAATCATTGGTTCTCAAGATCGATTTTGAAAAGTTCAGTTGAAATCTATTACTGCGCATTAACAACGATGATAGAGAACTATGACAAGATCTTACCTGCAAAATTTAAGATCAAACGAACAAGAATTCATAAAGTTATCAAAAGTTTTCATTTTAATACTCTTTGTAGATCATTTTTTAATCATTTTAAATTTATTGTTTTTAATTTTTTAGAGAAGCAATTTCAACAAGTTATTTAAAATAAAAACTAGCCAATCAGAGCATGAATAAAATTGGGAGTGAACAGATGGCTATAAAGAACTCTTGGAACAATACTCTTTAGTTAGAAAACTCGCAAAACTATACTTTTTGTCTGCCGTTTTCTTTTTTTATATTTTTCGACAAAAAGTGGGAGATTTGGCTACCCCCTTTAAAAGATCAGCATTGTTTATATTTCTATTTTCAGAAGGTCTCAAGTTATGATATGATGAATGAGAAATACAACAATCACGTATGAGAAGAAAGTTCTATTTGGGTTAAATTGAAGTACATGGAAGTCTCATGTTGGATCGGCTATGACTGTACAGGAATAAAAACCCTATGCGATGGACTCAAGGGAGTAGCTTTCAATGATGCTGGTAGACCATAAGGAAGCCTCTGTTTAATCTCATATTATGAAGAAGCAAGGTGTTGAAGACTGTTAGAGGATTTCGTAATCCGGAAAGAGCGGCTCAGTATAAATAGAACCGATGATTACGTGTCAAGGCTTTAAAATCAGCATTCTAAAATTCGAGGTGAATTTCATGAAAGTTGTAAACTAGAGCGATATATTAGAGATATGCAATATTCTGAAGTCATATGCATATAATTTTTAGCTCTTAGCACAGGTTAAAGTTTTAGTTTTTTTTTTGTTAGATAGCTCTATATATAGATTTCTACAACCATGTAGATAGTTTTTCATCTGGTTAGCAGGTTTTTATATCTGTAGACAA